TATAATATAATATAATATAATATAATATAATATAATATAATATAATATAATATAATATAATATAATATAATAATTATTTGTATTAATTTAAATTTTGTTAATTTTTATTTCACGATTATTCAGATTGTCAACATACATTTATTTATTTATTCAATGTACGTGTCACTTGCGGCAAATATTACAACAGCACTCGTTCAAAATCGAAATAAATGTCTCATTCTTACTTCTATAAACTGATATAAAACAGTCGCTTTTAATGTCCCGTAAATCTGGCGTTAATAGTTATCCTGAGGTGTTAACAGGAACAATCTTCGCTGTTTCATAGACAAGGCGGCGCAGCAGAAATTAAAGTGACTAAAGGAAAACAATATTCCGTCGCTCGTCTCGCGCATAGTTGATTATAAGTGTGCTGCGACTTAGTTTCCGCGACGCTAATTGACGGAAGCAATGCAAGGACGATTTTTCCTGCGCTTCGAGATTAGCGTGTGCCTCCAATTAGAATCTTTTTTTAAGCTTGACGCGGATGACAGAGCCGACGCCGCGAGTTACAATTTGCAACTGCGTATTTGTTGTCTCGCAAAGGCTGGAATGTCTCTTTCCCGGTCGCCATCTTTAAATGCCGTATTTAACCTTGCTTGTATAATAAGGTCATTTTAATTCGCGATACGTGAACCATCATTGCAAATGATAGACATTATCTTGTCACTAAGTAGTTCCAAGTACTTCTATGAAAATATTCTTGATATTGATCTGAGGAATTCGCATCGCTCGCGACCGATGCACGCGATGCAAATTCGGCGTAGTGTTTCGAGCGAACGGTGCGGTCCTGAAACCGTGCGAACTGATCGAACGTTCGCAAACAGCTGATCGTATCGTGTTGTCCGATTTATTAGTACAATTTATCAGTACGATTTATCGGTACGATTTATCGGCACGATTTATTAGCGCGTTGCGAAATCAAGCATTCGACGATTGAATATTGCATAAAATCTTCGGGCCGAAAGGAACGAAGCAATTTCCACCGGATCGAACGAGGGACGAGAATTGTTCTCGCAGCCATTTGCGTCTCGGATGATACCGTAACACCCTGAATATTTGATAGCTCGCTCCCGGGGTTGGAATAGCAGCGCGCGGCGTCGCCGCAACGTTCGTCCGAATAAAATATGCACGCGGCCGAATAAAATATGCACTCCGCCTCCGAGCATGTTCCTCTGGTCCCGATGCTGCCTCCGTCGGCCGGCAGTCTGCAATCAGGACAAATCCTTATCTGTCCGTCCCCGGATCCTTGGCCGGGACAGGTTGCGTCACGGACCCGAGTGAAACGCGCAGAAGGCAACGCTGAATCACACCTGCGACCTGCGACGCCGCAGAATGCTCGAATTACCTGCACGTTGCCGATCGATGATTCTCATTTGCGTTTCACGTGTCTCGCTGGGCGAGCACCGCACGCCAGCCCACTCGAGGGAAAAAAATTCGAGTTTACGAAGACCTTTGCAAGACATCACGATTTCGTCGTCGTCGTCGTCATTCTTCGTACTTCGCGTACCGTAAGAGTCTGCGTACAATAAATTCAGACACGTGAAATACGATTTCGAATAGAGAAAATACACTACTTCGATTAATCATTTTCTTTACCGCGGCATAAATAACTATTTTTAATACATGCGCTTCTCTCGAATTTGTTCAAGTATGGAATATTGAATTATTTGAATTATTGGTTAGCTACCCCTTGCGAAGGGTGTGCTGTTTTGAACTGCTGCAATTTAATTCTGACAATAAAATGTTTATCCAAACTGAACGATCGTAGCACAGTGTATACTCGCGTATTCAACGAAATAGTAATGTAATATAGTATAAGGTTATATAATAATATAATATAATATATAATAATATAATCTAAGGGGGGGCAGCATATGTATACAGGGTGTCTCATAATTATGTTAATACCCGTAAAGGGGTGATTCCAGAGGTCATTTGAAGCAACTTTTTCCTCAGCGAAAATGCAATCCGCGGCTTTGCTTACGAGTTATCAACAATAAAACACTGGCCAATGAGAAGCTAGCTCGACTGGGCGGTGGGCGTTGGCCCATCCGCTTACCCCCAGCCGAGCTCGCCTATCATTCGTCAGTGTTTTTCTTGAATAACTCGTAAACAAAGCCGTGGATTGCAATTTCGCTAAGGAAAAAGTTTCTTCAAATGACCTCAGGAATCACTCCTTTCAGGATATTAACATAATTATGAAACACTCTGTATAAAAGTCTGTGAAAAGAAATAAGAACTGCGCGTCGCTCTGCGACTCTGACGAAACTAGAAACAGCGTCACAGTCCTTTCGATCGTTCTACCGAAAATCTGAAAGCAATGCTTGAAACAAACTGAAAACTAAAATCAAACTTCCAACATGAACAGTCTACTGCATCAATTTTTGGGGAGAATGTTTGACCACGACGTCGGCAAGTCGTCAATTACGATTAGCAAGTGCAAGCCTGCTTCCTTCGTCTGACGATCTTGTTCCCGATTTCTGTTGCAGCTGCACGCGGCTGCGCTGTCATCCCTGAGGAACGAGGTGGCAGAGCTGAACTCCAGGCTGGTGGCAGCGACAAGAGCCAGAGAGGCAGCGGAGGCAGCTTTGGTGAGGGCCGAGGTGCAGGCGGCCAGGACCGAGCAGAGGGCCGAGCAGCAAGCGGCTAGACACGAGGAGAGGCTAACCGAGTTGCATTCCGTGATCGCCGAGCTGGGCAGGCAGCTCGAAAGGCACCGTGCTACCGTAATTGCCGAGGAGGATGAGTCCGGTAAGCGGAGGAAAACCGATTCCGTAAATCTGTTGCTCCGGGGCTCGGAGCGGAACCGAGTCGATTGGCTCCCTCGCGAGATCAGCCGGGGCTCCCTCCTTCGACAGAGATTTATGGCTCGTCGTTTTGTCCCTGTCCCTCCTTTCGCAGGCTTTTCGAAATTCGACGATTCCACCGAGACGCCCCGCGGCCGCGCCTCGTTCCCCGACGTTCCGACGCCGGAAAGCGGCGCCGGCGCTGCTCTTTATACGCCGCCGTTACGTTCGTCTATCGCCTCCCGAGAACTCGTCGAGGAGCGTTAACGTCGTATCAGAGACGACGCCGACGGCTGTTCGCAGCTGTCGACAATATCTGTTACGAATCCCGGCTCAGAAGTCGCTTTATCCTCGGATGCTTCCGCCGTCGAACGCGGCTCCAGCGTCGCGAGTCTCGTAAAAACAGCGGGGCGCGTCGAACAGATCCCCGTCTCTGGGTGGCCGGAGGATCTACGATTCGACGAGCGTGCGCTCGAGTAGCGTACGCGTCGCTAGAATGTTGATTTCTTCCGTAACTCTGTTATTCATCTTCGTACGGAAGGGAAATGCATTTCCACTTTAAAGCGTTCTATGTCATTCACCCGCAGATGTTCGTTCGCTACTTCTTCGAACGAAACGGAACTTCGTCCGCGTTTAGATAACATTTTGAAGAATGTTCGCAAACATTTTCCACGCGAAATTCTGGTAAATCGACGATTTATACGTATTCGCGGAGCTTCTTGGATTCGGAAGATGCTAGCGAGCGGACGTTCTTTATCGATTCTGTCCGCTGTTCGGCTATGTTCGGCGACAAAATGGCCGGACAATAAATACATCAAATTTCCTGCATGTTTCGACAACACTTTGAAGAGGATTCAGAGGAGTTTTCATCGTAAATGTCTGGTAAATGGACGCAGTTCAATTTGAAACAAGTCTCCGTGAACTGTTCACCTGATTCGCCGATTTTTTACGCTTTCTTCTACGCTTTTATTTTTGTTATCGTAAAAATGGCTATCCGCTCGTATATGTCATATATAAATAAACGAAACGAAATGACATTTCCACGTACTCGTAGACTTCTCGATTTCGGAAGATGACTCGACGGAGCCGTAGCCAACAGACGTTCGCGATCGATTCTGTCCACTCGGTCGACGCCCTTCCAAGTCCTCGAACTTCCCGCCCCGTTCCCGCGGTTCATGGTGTTTTATGATTCGCAGAAATCGAGACGAGCAGGGACGCGGAGGGTTCGATCACGAACCCGGTTGAAGAGAGCGAAGCCGGCGGCGACATCCAAGGCGACGGTGACCGTACCTTAGGGGATGCCGATTCCAGCTGTTGCGAAGACATCGAGCCCCGCGCCGTCGAGGTAACAGCCCCGCATCCAGCCCCGGCCTTCAGGAACCGTTCACTTTTCCATTCCGCGATCGATCCTACTCTCGCTCGATTACCAACTTCTCTAATCGGGAGCCAGCGTCTGACCCTCGCGCTCGCAGACCTATTAAATTTCGTCCGATATATGCTGCTTCGGACCAACTAATTTCGTCGAACGGCGAAACTATGGGAATACCCGTCCGTGAGCGTTTGTTCTGCAAGCTGCGGCACGAAACTCGTCAGATTTCACTGGGAACCGGTCCCTACGATTGCTTTTTACCGATTCGATTCGCCGCCGTGGATCAGTTAGCTACCCCTCAAAAGAAGAGGCTACTTCGCGAATTTATTTCGAACGATCTGTTCCACCGATCTTCTTGAAATTTTCAGGATATTTTACTACAACTCTGAGATAACCAGCGAAATTTTTCTGACCCGGAAGAGCTAGGTATTGCTCTGCTATGGTGATTAATGTCCAGCCTGTCATCGTCCTCAATTACAGCAAGCCAGGACTTGCTACATTTATCAGCCTGAAAATTTATATTTATACCTGAAAATATCGTATATAAAATTAGATTTGCCTCCAACGTGGTATAAAATTGTATAGAGTGCGAGCATAAGAAATTGTTTCAACCCGCCACCCCAGGCAACCCTTGAAAACCCGTCGGAAAGGTAATGGAACTTCTGGACCGTGGGCATTGCCGTAAACCAAAAGCTTCTCGGGTCTAAACGATTTCTAAGGGACTATTTTATCGAAACGACTCCTGTGTTTTTTTTTATCGATAGAATGGCAGAGAACAGCTGGACAGTCCCGCCGCGTTACCAACCCCCGAGCCGACGCAGCAGGCGGCCTCCTGCCAAAGCGTTGCCGTCGCAGCGTTACAGGACGAGGTCACGGCTTTGCGAGCGGAGATTTCGAGCTTGCAGACGCAGCTCGCCAATTTTAAGAATCAGGCGAACAACCAGAGGCAACAGGCTGGCAGCGACTCGCCTCGCAGGGATCTAAGGGTAGGTGGCAAACTTCGGGACGACGTTGTCTTCTTTCGGTGTCCTTCCTTCGAATACAATTGATTTTTAATCGATTAAATAGAACTTGAATAATAATACTTTCATAAATAATAACACTTTAATAACACTTTTTAACACCGTGTCAAGTAGCTTTTCTTCGTTTTCGTCGCACGATTTACCCCTTTGCACTGGACGCCATTTTAACCGTAAACCCAAAATAGCTTTCGACGATTTAGCTTTTTCTATTTTATGTGACTTGTTAGTGCAATTTATGGATATTAAATTGAGTCTATACAACGCAGTTGCACTTTTAATAGTTCTATAAAAATAAAGAGATTTGTTAATGTGAAATATAATGTAACAAATATAATATATTACAAATTATCATTATACAAATACAATAACAATCTTGAGTGGTGTCTCAGAATAAAACAGCGTACGTTCGCTATTTTACCAAGGATCAAGCGAACGCCGTGTTTGACGTAATCGCGTACACTCGGGGATGATCGCAAGGGTTTCGAATATCTTCGAATATTTTCGCAACACGCGGGCACCCAGGCGACGCTGAGCAAATTTTTCGCATGGTTACCCCCAGGCTCGCAGGCCCAACCTTTGATCAGCCGACACTTTTCAGAAAAATGTTTATCAACCCTTCCCGCCGTAATGTTTCCTCGTCCTCCTTTGATTCCCCGCAGACAAGAGGCAACACCAGCTCGCCGGAACCTTTGAGTGCACCTTGCTCGCCACTCTTGCCGCCCCTGCAGACACCGCCAACAAAGAGCGTAACGAGGGAGGAAGCTCCTGTTCTTAAAATGGCCGAGAGGGTGAGACTCAGGAGGACGGACGAGAGGCACATCACAGGACCCGATATTACCAACTTGGGGGTACGTTATCGTTGCCGTTGTCCGCGCGCCTCTTGTCTCGCGACTTTTCCGTAAAATCGTTTCGTTCGTTCGCGGCAGCCGAGCTTCTCGAAAAATTCACTTTCGTCGTGAATCGAATTTCATTGTTGCACGCGGATGGTCGAAAAATGGTAGCCGCTGTGACAAATTTCCATTTTGTACACCTCGAAGTATGGCTACGTTTGTTAATTAATTAACCCTTAGAGCTCTATGGACGTATATATGCGTTTGGCGAAAGTCATCCGTGTAGCCTAAGGCCGCATTTATGTGTTTTCTGTAAGTCATCGGCCTGGACTAAGGGCGCACATATGCGTTTGTCGATTTTTTCAATCAATATGCAGTTATTTTCATGCAAAATTAATACAGGGGCACTCGTTAGTAATTTGCCTTCCTTAGGTAGCGGTTGGGCAATATTAGGGTCATAAAAATCCCCGGGAATTTCCGAAACGGAAATCCCATTTTATGTCCCACTCTTTAACCAATTAGACTTCAAAATAATTACCTGCATTGTCACCTTCTCGCGACTCAAAGCACTCAAAACGACTCAGTCAGCAGTATCGTCTTATACAAGACGATATTATACAATTTATTACTATAATTTATTACTGTTTGCGCCTTGAATAGTCACTTCAGTGTGGCAAAAAAGTATTCCGCCCC